ACTGATGTCTGTTGGGAGTCAACTCTGTCCGTCTGTTAGCAAAATATCTTGTGAACCACCAAGTGGATTTTAATAAAACTTTCAGAAATAAGTCACTAGATAAACACCTTCAGCTGATTAACTTGTGCAGACAACCTGACTTAACGTGGCTGCCACAGCCAGCTGATTTTATAAAATGCTAAAATGTCTATAACCCAGTCAATTTTACAGATCTTGAGCTAAAGTTTAGTGTGGTAGTAGCTGAGAATCACCACAACATATACATTGAGGGTTGCACATTGTGCAGCATATTACCTTAAAGTTTTTGCATAAATTGTTGGAGTCAACCCTGTCCGTCTGTTAGCAAAATTTCTCACGAGCCACCAAGTGGATTTTAATAAAACTTTCAGAAATAAGTCATTAGATAAATACCTTCAGCTGATTAACTTTTGCAGACAACCTGACTTAACGTGGCTGCCACAGCTAAGTGATTTTAGAAAAGGCTAAAATGTCTTTAACCCAGTCAATTTTACAGATCTTGAGCTAAAGTTTAGTGTGGTAGTAGCTGAGAATCACCACAGTGCATACATTGAAGGTTACACATTGTGCACCAAATTAGCTTAAATCTTTTGGCATAAACTGTTGGAGTCAACTCTATCTGCCTGTTAGCTGAAATGTTTCGGCTGTTTTAGCAGCGCTGACGTTACTCTGCATGCCTTTTGGTTACGAGTATTTAAAGGCGGCAGTAATTACTCGTAATTTTCTGTTCAGGCTTGCAGCTCGGCTGCCAACGGCTCTGGTTGTTTTTGCTCCTGTGGCTGTAGAGGGAAGCTTTCCCCCTTCGAATGTAGTAGAAGGAATGAGGTAAGGAGCATCGTCTGGCTTTTTTTCCAGCGAGTCGTCAGATTTCAGGGTGGCTGCAGAGTTTTAAACAAACTGTTGGAGGCAGCAGTGGTGCACGTCGTCCATCTTGGCAGCTCTTAAGGTCCCGCAGAGACGCAACGGTGTGGAAGAACGTAACAAGTAAAGACAAAGAGTTGCACTTTATTAAAGCAGTGAAGAGGAGGTGATCGTGTGACGTTACTGCCAATAAATTCAGCTGTTCCTCTTCATTCAGAGCTCTTAAATTTCAGTTCATCCATTTACCTTAACCAGCTGAGAAAAATAAAGTCCTAAATGGTTTTTTTCTGTAGTTTTACAGAACATTACTTCAAAGTTGACTGGACTATCCCTTTAAGGCAGGGGTGCTCAAAGTGCGGTCCGAGGGCCATTTGCGGCCCTCGGAGTGATTTTGTGCGGCCCACAACTGCAGTTTAAGAATGGTATCATTTTGGACAGCATGCTTAAGAGGTTGATGCAGACTTTCTGCAAATTCACTGGCAAAACTTTTTTTAATAGGATGTTTAAGTTTAACAGCAAAACAGATGGAAACCAAAATCTCAAAATGAGTAAATATTAAGCAAAATCAAATCTTTTATTGTTACTTCATGGCACAAAGCACCACAAACAGATTCCTATCAAAAATGAGACTTTTGGATATAATTGTTCATAAAACTTAGCTAAATACTGCATAACAAATTGCAGTTGATATAATAATCAATAGAGGGAAATTGGACATTTCTTAATTAATATAACGTTGTATCATCTGCATACAGATTGATCAACTTTATCAGTGTCCCTTGTCTTATTGTCTTTTTCCAAATTTGTGTATTCTGCTTCTTTTTTTGATTATTTCATATGTTTATGTATGCATGTATGTATGTCCATATACATGTTTGTATGTATGCCTGTTTGTATGTATGTGTGTGTACGTGTGCGTGTATATATGTACGCATGCACACAGTGATAATCCTGGTTAGGTATGCATGAGTCTTAACAGCGTCAGAGTAGAAGCTGTTCCTCAGTCTAGTGGCTCTGCATTTGATGCTCCTCAGCCTCCTTCCTGGGGGGAGCGGGGCAAAAAGTGTGTGTGCTGGGTGAATGGGGTCCTTCATACCATACCACTTTATTTATAAAGCACTTAAAACGGCGACAAGGCCAACCAAAGTGCTGTACAGCCAGAACAACAGGTAACACACAAAGCACAATACAAAATGAGGTAAATCAGAATATAGACATAAAAACGATGCAGATAATGACGACTAACCAGTGTGGAGCATACAGGATCACAACACAGATCATCTGGTGTTGAAAGCCACCGAATAGTAGTGGGTTTTTAAACGGGACTTGAAAACCGAGAGGGAGGGGGCCTGTCTGACAAGCAGAGGTAACTCGTTCCAAAGTCTTGGTCCTGCTACAGAGAAGGCCCTGTCACCTCTGCGCTTAAGACGAGTTCCTGGAACTGTGAGGAGCAACTGGTCCGCTGACCTCAGGGAACGTGGTGGGACATACGTTTGTAGCAAATCAGAGAGATGGGGGGGCAAAACTGTTCAGTGATTTGTAGACATAAAGGAGTATTTTGAATTGGATTCGAAAGTGAACCGGTAACCAGTGCAGTGAGGCCAAAACTGGTGTAATGTGCTCTCTTTTGCCTGTACTGGTTAAAAATCATGATGATGATTCATGATGCAGGTGGTCCTCTTCCTGCATCTGGAGGTGTAGATGTCTGTGATGGTGGGGAGGCTGACTCCGACAGACTTCTGTGCAGCCTTCACCACTCTCTGCAAAGCTTTTCTTTCTGCAGCTGTGCAGCCTCCATGCCACACGTTGATGCTGGAGCACAGGATGCTCTCCACTGCACACCTGTAGAAGGAGGTGAGGACTGAGCTTCCCAGACCAGCTCGTCTCAGCCGCCTGAGGAAGTAGAGTCTCTGATGAGCTTTCTTGATCAGGCTGGTGGTGTTGTTGCCCCACCTGAGGTTGTCATTCATGTGTACACCCAAGTACTTGTAGCTGGAGACCACTTCCACTGCAGATCCTCATATATTCACGTGGGGTAGGTGTGTTTGTTCCGTCTGAGTCCACAATCATCTCCTTCGTCTTCTTCACATTGATGTGAAGGTTGTTCTTCCTGCACCAGCTCTCCAGGTGTTCCACCTCTTGCCTGTAGCTGGACTCGTTGTTTGTGATGCATCCCACCACCGCTGTATCATCTGCAAACTTTACAATGCGACAGCCTGGATGGGTAGCTGCACAATCATACGTGAGCAGAGTAAACAGGAGGGGGCTCAACACACATCCCTGAGAGGCCACGTTCTAGGGGTGTCCCAATATTAGTTTTACCAGTACAACTACTTCAATTTGGGTACTTGCCTATACTGAGTAAATGATACATAGTAGTTAATGAGTATTTAAACATTACACAACAGGAATTAGGAACATATTTATTTTATTATGAACACCACAAACAGCCTCTATTATGTTGTTTATTTGTCTTATGCAGGTTAACACAAGCTCAATAGTTCAATGAAATGTTCAGCATGAGAAGAACCTAAACAACAAAATGATAGAATACGTGCAAGTTGGATGACTTCGTATGAATAAGTATTTCACAAGTAGTAATATTAGCTTAAATGCACATGATATATATTGCATATACAGTAACTAACTGGTATCAGATGCTGTGCTGCTGGCAGGATTTTTACTGAAACCTTTTTTTAACTTTTGGACATTTGTTATGATGCGTAACCATAACAACAAGGTGGATTTCTACAACTGTGAGCAGCTGATTAACATCTCAAAAGCTCAAATCTCAACTACAGCCCCAAATCCCAAATGAGTTGAAAAGGAGGTGCTGTGGGTGCATTCCCATCTACCAGGAGGCAGTGCTCGAGTGCCTGACTGCAGAGATCTTGGAGGGAGCGGGAAACGCAGCTTGTGACAGCGGGAGGACCAAGATCATCCCCCGGCACCTGCAGTTAAGTCTGTGGCAATAAGGGGCTTGGCAGGCTGCTGGGAGAAATGGCCACCGCTCAGGGAGAAGTTCTGCTCGACATTCAGGCAGTCCTGCTGCCCAAGAGGACCGAGAGGTCTGCTGGGTCTGGGTGGACAGATTGACATCTGTAGACAGTTTCTTCAGATCCGCTGTGGGACGGACCGCTACAAGAGATCCTTCCTGCCCAAAGACATCAGCACCTAGAACAACTCTAATGAAACCAAGATGAGCTACAACAATTTATTTCACTTTGGGATTAATAAAGTATATTTGAATTTGAATTGAATTTGAATTGGGACAAAGCTTTGATTCAGAAATATGTTTTTGTTATTACTTTATGGAAAGAAAAAATTATTGAGATATATATCGCAATTTATCTTAAAAATATCGAGATATATATATATATATATATATATATATATCGCGATTTATCTTAAAAATATTGAGATATATATATCGCAATTTATCTTAAAAATATCGATATATATATACATCGCGATTTATCTTAAAAATATCGAGATATACATTTAGGTCCGTATCGCCCAGCCCTGCAACAGAAGTGAAATAAATCCCTGGAGAATATTTGAATAACATCAAAAAGACAACATGGAGATTTGTTGTAAGTGGGAGAAACAGGGAGGAGGGGAAGAGGGAGAAAGAGTGAAACATTGTTTGCCGCAGCTGATTTCTGTGTGGACGTCTTTGTGTCTGTTCAGAAGGCATGCCGAGTCAGAGAGACGACCAAGCTCTAAGGGTGAGAGGAGGGAGGAGACGAGAAATGAAAGTGGAAGGCTGGAGTGAAAGATGGAGAGGAAGGAGAGGAAGGCAGCCAGAGGGAAACGACGGCGAGGCAGAAGGGAAGGGAGGGAGAGAGCGCCGGAGCATCTGCATCACCCCCCAGCTGACGGAGGGAGGAAGAGGAACGTGAGGAGCTAACGCCCCGCTCTGACTGAATGAGCAGCTCAGTTCCTGCTCCCCACGCTCCCCCCTCGTCCCTGCAGAGCGTCACAACCATCAGCTCTTCGGCTGGGGTTCGCACAGTGCACCTGTTGGAGGACTTCGCCTTAGATATGTGACGGAGCTAAAGTTAAGGAGCTAAAGTTAGTGCAACATCTGAAGTTGAGGTTGTTTCCTATAAAGTGGCATCATGGGATGCACCACCAGCGTGGTTCTCCTGGAGGGGCTGCGCTCCATCCTTCAGAGGAACTGTAGCTATGTAAAGGGCACGGTGGAGCTGGGAGCTCTGGAAGAGGACGAGGAAACGCTGAGTTTTAGAGGATCTCATCTGTGGATTCCAAGCACTGCTTTGGTGAGCCCTGTTTCACATACAGGCATTGTTGTCAAATTTATGCTACTTTCACCCGCCACCCTAAGGCACGGCAGATGATTATGTTTTTGCTCATGTCTGTTTCCTTGTTTGTCTGTTAGCAAAATATCTCATGAACCGCTGAACGGATTTTAATGAAATTCTTAGGAAATAATCATCGGATGTACTTTTACAAGTGTTAAACTTTTGGAGTCACCCCAATTCAAAATGGCTGCCACATGTAACAAAACTTAAAAAACACATATATTGCTTTAACTCAGTCAACTTCATAGAATTTGACCGAGAATTTAGTGTGAAAGTAGCTGATATTAACCTTCAAAAGATATTCTGAGTGTTGACCAGTAGCACAAGATCGTTATTTACAGTTTAGCAATTAACTATTTATTTAAGTCCACTTTGTCTGTTAGCAAAATATCTTATGAACCCCTTGATATATTTTGATGAAACTTTCCAGAAATAATTATTAGATATACCTATATGACTGATTAACTTTTGGAGGCACCTCCATTCAACATGGCTGCCAGAGCTAACTAATTTTAGAAAACACACAAATGGCTATCACTCAGTCAGTTTTACAAATAATGTGCTAAAATTTGGTGTGGTAGTAGCTGAGTGTCATATACAACACATAAATCAAGAGCTTCACATTGTGTGCAATTTTTGTTTAAAACATTAGCACTCATTTTTGGAGTCTGCAGTTGTCTGTTGTTGTCTTGTTTGTCTGTTAGCAAAAAATCTCATGAACCACTCAATGTATTTTATCAAAACGTTCAGAATGTTTACCATTAGATCCATGCCTACAACTAATTACCTTTTTGGAGTCGATGTATTTCAAGATGGCTGCCACAGATAATTGATGATAACCAACACAAAAATGGCTAGAACTTTGCCAGTTTTACAAATATTGAGCTACAGTTTGTTGCGGTAGTAGCTTTCTGTCAATAAAAACACATACTTTGCACGTTATATCTTACGATATTGCATAAAATTGCACTTATCGATATTTTAAAACGTTTGACTAAAGTGGCTATAACTCTTGATAGGCATCTTGTGGTATGTATTTCTTCCAGGAATACAAGCCCTTTATTTATTGTTGTTGGTCAATTCTATTTTAATCGATATGTTTACTGCACAAAACTGTACATAAATAAATTTTGCTGGGCGAGTAATTGTCTCAGAAATTAGTGCAATAAACGATTATATTGTTTGAAATTTGACAATAATTAGTAATTATTGTCAAATTTAATTAGAAATGTTGGTTATTTGTTTTGCGTGTAGTACCTTTTTTGACCACCGGATGGCAGTATAAGACTGAACCGAAGGACGGATAGTATGGGAGCGAGCAGCGTGTCTCTTTAAGAAAAATGGGAGGGAGGCCCCTTGACATGACATGGGCTGTCTCTCCTTCCTTGTTTTTGGTTCTCAAAATGGTGGACGCTCTGTGTGGTTTGAGTTCTTTAGCATAGCATTTTTCACACAAAGCTTTTAATTAAAAATCAGTAAACAAGTTCTCAGCTTCGTTTTGCAGAGGAAAACAACTTTTTAGTCAAAGGCACGGGTTTCAACTGTGAATTTTGGAGCTCGAAAAGACGGAGGTTTTTCCCCGAGATCAGCATGTTAGCTTAGCTCGTAGCTTAGCTTCTCAGCTTAACTGCTTTTAAAAATCTAAAAATGCGATTTTGGACGGTTAAAATAGATTTTAAAGAGAAAGGGAGGGGTCAGTGAAGAGCACTGGAGTGGAGCCTTTTGTCATCTTTAGGGTTTTATGGTACGCGACAGTGCCACAAAGGCTGCACATGAATACAATTTATATTGTAAATTTTTGCTCCAAATGATCACAAAGACAGTTTACTGAGGAAAAATAACAATTATTGTTAAAAATACGTTACTATTTTCTGCTTTGCGAGCTAGCTCTCTACTAGCCTAATCTCCGGAATGAGCTGCAGCCCTTCCAATAATTTTTAACACCAGTAATAATGTTATTAATGCAAGAATCCATGTCTAAATCATGCATTTAATTTGGAAGAACAACTTTCCTGTCATTTTTGTGGGTACATAACGGTAAATGTCTGAAAAAAAATCATATGATAGCTAGGCCTGTCATGATAACGAATTTTGCTGGGTGATTAATTGTCTCAGAAATTGTTGCGATAAATGATATTGTTTGAAATTTGACAATAATTAGTAATTATTGTCAAATATCAGAAGAAACGTTGGTTAATTTTTGTGTGTAGTACCTTTTTTTACCACTGGATGGCTGTATAACACTGTTTGAACTGAAGGATGGATAGTGGGGGAGTGAGCAACGTGTTTTTTAAAGAAAAATGAGAAGGAGGACCGTGACCTGACATGGGCTGTCTCTCGTTCCTGTTCTTCGGTTCTCAAAATGGTGGACGCTCGGTGTTGTTTGAGCTCTTTTGCAGAGAAAAACAACATTTTAGACGAAGGCACGGGTTTCAACCGTGAATTTTTGGAGCTTCGACAAGACGGAGTTTTTTTTACAGTGGTCGGCTTGTTAGCTTAGCTCGTAGCTTAGCTTCTCAGCTTAGCTGCTTTTAACGATCCAAAAATGTGATTTTTTGATGGTTAAAACAGACTTTAAATTGAAAGGGAGGGGTCAGTGACGAGCACCAGCGTTGAGCCTTTTGTCATCGAGAGAGACACAAAGAAACGATAAAGCCGATAAATGAAAATGAGGTCTATAATTTTCTTTTATCAGGCGATTGATTGATTTATTGTTTATTGCGACAGGCCTAATGATAACTCAATTGTTGAAATTTTACAATCCCATTGTATGATAGGGTGGTTACATCATCAGGCATGACATTTACAAAAAAAATAATCATGACAATTTTCGAAAAATATATTTTATAAAACTTTGCAATATAATGGCATTGCACTTCATTGTTGATTTTTATTTTTGTTTATCATTTTCTCTAGTAGTCCAAACATGAATCAATACTTTGTTAGTTAATTTAAGAGAACATTCAACACCCTGATGCATGCTCAATAGTCCAGGTAGAAAATCTAAAGAGGACCAGACTTAACTTTTTTTAGATTTTAAAATGTAATTTTTAGAGCAATTCTCTTTCCTTAGATCCAAAATATGCAACTTTTCTAAACCCTAAGAATAACTGTTGTCAGTCATTGTGATTGCAATATTGACCAAACGTATACATTTTCTAAATATATTTTATAATTAAGCAGCTTTCATGCCACGCCACATTGAGGTAGTAATTCTTGCAAAAGGAGCTCCCTTGAAAATAAACTAAATAACGAGTAACACTGTGAACAGGATTTATTTTCTGCAATTCAAGCTTCAAGCACAAAACACCTATTTTAATAATTTTATTGTGTTTATGGTAATCTGCAAACCTGTGCTATAAAAAACCCCGCAAAACATTGCAAGTATTGTACCGAGACAAAATATTTGGTCAGACATCCCTATTGCAAACATTCCAGTTAGGCCAATGGATCAAGGGCTACAATGACAAAATACCATTCTACCACTTTTACTGACTAATACCAACACATTTTATCTCATAATAATTATGGCAAACAAATGTAGTTAGCCAATCATGTCAAGATGCCAAACTTGATGTTTTGTGAACAATAGTTGGATCTCAACCCCAACTTTGGGAACAAATAGGTACTGCATGTGTTGGTAGTCGCCTTATGGTATAGAAAAAATATGTCAGTAATCTATGTATGTCGAAAAAATGGTGCCAGAGAGAGAGGGAGAGAAAATATTACATAAAATCTGTTACATTTTTTGAAACAAGGTCAGCAAAATACTGTTTGATAACAGCGCATAGATGCAGCTTTCTTTATACAGTCCATCCATCCTGTACGTTCCAGTTGTTCCAGAGTTGGTTTGTGGGGACAGTTTTAAACAGGGAGGCCCAGACATCTCTTTCCACAGCCAGCTCAGTTCTTTTAGAAGGACTTCAAGGCATTCCCAGGCCAGCTGAGGGACAGTCTCCCGAGCGTGTCCTGGTTCTTTCCTGGTGTCTCCTTGCAGTTGGGCATACCTGGAAAACATCCCTAAGAAGGCATCTAATGGGTGTCCTTACAAGATGAATTATCTCAAGGATAACTGAACTTCTCATCCCATCTCTAAGGGAGAGTTCAGGTACTCTGTGAATTAAACTCATTTTAACTCCTTGTATCTGCAAGCTTGTTCGTTTGGTCACTACCTAGAGTTCTTGACCATAGGTGAGGGTAACAGCGTAGACCGACAGGTGAACTGAGAGCTTTGCCTTGCAACTCATCTCCCTCCTCACCACAACAGACCGACAAAAAGTATGCAGTACTGCGGAAGCTGCACGGATCTGTCTTTTGATTTCATCGTCCATTCTTCCTTCAATTGTGAACAGTCGTATAATGGAGCTCTGACACGACTAGTACAAAGAGATACTCCCCTTTTGTACAGTAACATTAATTTGTCCCACATGTTCTTCCTTGCACTGTGAAAGGGTGTCAAATCCAAGATATCGCCAATAAGTCACATGCTCTTTGACTTCTCTATAAAAAGTCCCTCTGCAGTTTTAGTTGTTGATCGATAATGGCTTGACGTCATCCCTGCCGTTGTGTCTACAGCATCTGGAAAGTTCACTCCTCTCCAGGCAACACCCTCACACTTTCTCTCTCCTGGGCGCCTGTAGCGACGCTCGGCTCCCAAACGCTACGTCAAGCTCGCCCTTATGCAATTCTCCGCAGGCTTATGGAGCTCTATGTTGTCGCGTGTCCACGTGCGCGCGCTTGTGGACACCTCCTGGGAAGGGTGTAGACTGCTCACATGCTCTAATTGGTTCAAGCTGTGTCCAAGCCATTCCTCTCCTCCCTCCTTCCCTCCCCTAACATAATATTTTGTAAAGTTCTTACACAGATGGCTCTGCAAGCTAATTTGCACCCGTTCCATCGCTTTCTCCAACAAAGTAACACATGCCTGCAGATTGACTGGCATGATACTTACAAATGTG